GAGAAGAACCCGTCCAGAAGACCTATACAATTTTTTTCTTTTTGTTATCTGCATTGGCTTAAGAAAAATATTCTTTGCCAACCTGTTATAGCTATATTAAAAATATTCTATTATCAGCAAGAAACGTGGGCTGCATTTTTTATGAAAAGATGACAAAATAGTATTTTGAGGAAGTTATCTCACTTGTTTGATTCAAACTGAAAACCACAGGCCTCACATCATCAGATAGAGCAGTTTTATCTGAGATGCAGGGCACACGTTGCAAAAATCATCTTGTTTGGGCAATTAAAATTATTCATTCAATAATTTTACAAATTATTAATTTTTAACTCTTAACTTTTTGTCATTCTCAATTAGTTTTTTATTCACCCACCCCTAAGTTACTAACTGAGCAGGCTGAGAAAACCAACGTTGCTTTTCTTTTCTCTTTTTTTTCGCAGATACGTTTTTCTCACCATTTAATCTACTAAAAATGTGTGAAAAATTAGCAACTTTTTTTCTCTCTCTCTCTTAATCGCAGGAAGCGTTGCTGTCTCGACACCAGTAAGACATTATGCTAGAGGTGTAAAGATCAAACCTGCAGGTACTTCAGTGTTTCACTAAACAGTGTTTGTACATTTTTTTTTGCTTAAAACATGATTTTGAGCATGTAGTTTCTTTCAGCCCCGCAGAGCCAGCTCAGTGATCTTCAACCATCAATGCTGAAGTTAGAATATGCATCGGTCCCTTGTGCCCAAACGTAAACATTCAATTATAACTTACCTTTAAACAGCTCTAAATATATATATTTTTTACAAAACAGTAACAGCATATTTTTTCAGAGTGAAAGTCTTATGATTTCAGACAGTTTTCTTTTTCTCTTACAGGGCTGATGATCTTGTCAAACGTATTCTTTCACTGGAACTGGCAAGTCATGTAAGGAGTGACTTACTTTACTTCTTTTTCTTCATTCATTAATTGACTTGATTGACATAGACTTCCACAACACACACCGAGGGCAGTTCTGAAGAAAACATTTATCTATTTAGGGATGCAACGATATGAAATTTCAGCCGATATCTATATCCAAAATTATTGGTGTTATGGCAGATAACTGATATTTACCGATATTACACAAACACACAAATTATTTATATACGTATGCGCACAAACACACTTGGGTCTTTCTTCGATACCGTAAATAAACGACCAGACCTCTGACATGGCTCTCTACTTCAGTTAATTCCTGGCTGTGCAGCGTTAATATCACTATCACGATCAAACAGATGGCACTCAGCAAACATTTCACCTACCAAAACAGAAACACAAAGCTAAAAAATGGAAAATCGGTATTGGACAATAACATCGGCCCCATTTTACATATCGGGCCGATAGCGATATTCTAAAAAAAATGACCAAYATCGGTCGATACCAATGTCARYGCTAATATATTGTGCATCCCTATTTTACCTGCTTGTTCCCGTTAAAGGTTTGCATTGAGCTGGCCCCTATAGACTGTGATCTTTGGGCAGCAGAGTGAGTAAACACTGGAAAGATCACCTTTCCATCACAGGATCACAGAGACAAACAAGACTGACAACAATTCACACACACTCAAATCTGGGGTCTATTTAGAGTAACCATTTAACCTAACATGTAAGCTTTTGGACTGTGGGAGGAAACCCACAYATGTACAGAGTGAATATAAAAATTCCACACAGAGACTCCAGCCAGACGTCGCACATTTGACCTTCTTGCTGCAAGACAGCAGTGCTAACCAAATGTCCCATTGTGTGGCCCAGTTCCTAAAGGCCCTGTCACACTAGGCAACTGATGCCGACTTATGAACATTTTAAAGACATCTGCATTTAAAAAAAAGACATCTACATTAAAGATGGAATTGAAAAAATCAACAGGAAGCTTCTTTTCAGTGTGCACATAATGCAATTCGAACAAATTGATCAAATATATAACATAGCCTTATTATAGCATTATATTATGGCTTTTAGAAAAATGTTTTTGTGTGGTGTCATCATCTCCTAATAAATGTCATGTCAGACATTATAACTGCTCTCTTTTAATACTTAAGTACATTTTATATCAGAAAATTACTTTTGATACCTAAGTACAATAAATGTCAGATACGTTAAGAGTTTTACTCAAGTACTATTGTTAGAGGAGACATTAACTTCTACCAAAGAAATTTTATGGTAAGATACTTGTACTTTCACTTAAATATCACTTTGATGTACTTTACACAACACTGTTCTTAAGAATCTCAGTTCTCAAATATTGTCATAGTATTTAACTTTATTCCAGCCCATGTATACAATGAAATATCTTGACTGATAATAGTTGTAATATTAATTTTTTCAGAAGGAAAAGCTAGAACTGAAGAAGGAACAACTGATCGCAAAGGTTCAACGTGATGAAAATGATCGGAACTCAGTGGAAGTTCGAGGTGAGATGCTACTTCATGAACTTGCACAGGATATTTTATTAAGTAAAAATGTGAGGACTACGTTTTTTTCTGATCTTTTTTTTCTAGTGGCTGTTCTGACTGCAAGAATTAGAAACTTTCAGGAGCATCTGCAAAAGCACCGCAAGGTGAGTAAAAATAAAACACCAATCCAAAAATGTTGGGACATTGTGTAAAATGTAAATAAAAACAATGCAGTGGTTTGCAAAATCTCATAAATTCACATTTCATTCACAATGGACTATAATAAACATATCAAATGATTAAAATGAGATATTGACAGTACAAAAGAGGAGAAGGACCTACTAGCCTGTTATGAACATACAGTTAATAAAGCCTGCTTCTCTAAAGGTATGGGGGTGCATTCGTGCCTATGGCGTGGGCAGCTTACACATCTGGAAGGGCACCATTATACTAATTAATTAGTATATATGGGTTTTAAAACATGCTCCCTACCAGATTACATTTTTTCAGGGAAGATCTTGCATATTTCAGCAAGACAAAGCTAAACTGCACACTGCATTCATTACAACAGCTTGGCTTTATAGTGAAGACTCCAGGGACCTCATGTACAAAGACTTGCATGTATTTCTTACTGAAACCTGACATACGGTCAAATGCAGAAAACGGCGTACGCACTAAAAAACCCAGATGTATCAAACCGTGCGAATGCCTGAATCCACACACATTGCTTTTGTACATCACAATTAACGTGGAACTGAGCGCAGGTAAGAGACACCTCCCCTGACACGCCTTCATTAACATATGTTAAACAGATGCAAATTACTTCCTGCATGTGTGAAGGACACGTTTGAGTGATCCCTGCGCGATCAGAAATGATTTCTAATGTCATAAAAATAATGAATTAATATAATGTGAGTGAGAAAAAAAATTCTAAGTAAAAATAGGAATAAAATATGTTTATCATGCAAAGAATGAGCGATTGTGTGCACGCTGCTGAGGTGCGCAACCGGCTCATCCATCCATTCTGAGTCTGAAAATATTAACTTTGCGCACGAGTTTATTACCATAATTACTGTAAACACAGAGGAACTTAA